TGCAAATGAGTGGAGACACTGAGAAGCCAGTGAGAGTGCTCTCTAAGAACTTAAAACCTTCGAGAGTTTGAAAAAATATTGAAAATTATCGAACAAAAACAAAACAAAAATCATTCATTGATGGGACTGGACGCTGGATTAAAGAATAAACCATCCAACATCCAATTAACTTAATGAATTAAACTTCAGAATAAGAATAAAAATTGTCAACAAAATTAATTCAAACTTAAATAAAAATAAACACATGTGTGTTTTGTGCACAAAATAAACTACATGTTTTTTTCTTTTGAATGTAGCACAAAATAAATCTGATGTTTCATCCATCATCCAATATGCAGTCATGATACTTCACTCTATCAACCAAATTCGTTCAAAATCTAATGGTTTCTATTCCTCGCAACCTCCAATCATCCTGTAAAGTCAGAGTTTATATAAAGTTTCGGGGGGAAGGTTATCGTGTTTACAAATGTTTGCGTACAGCGTACAACATCCATGGATACAGTATCCATTGATATATTTTTATCTAATGTTATTTATCTTGATTCTAAAAATGTTCAAAAAACTTGATACAAAAAATATAGTGTTCAACGAATCATAAAAAGATACTCGAAAATCATCCCTTGATGTGATTGGACGCTGGATTAATGAATAAACCACCCAACATCCAATTAACTTAATGAATTTCACTTCAGAATAAGAAATGTCAACAATTCGAACTGAAAAAAAAATGCAGACAAAAAATAATATCATCCATCATCCAATAATTCTATATACTAATCGAATACTTCACATGAAATGTCAAATGAGATGTAGAGTTTTTATCCATTCATTCGTATTTTTGAAATCCAACTTATTTATTTATCCATAAAATATAACTCATCCATGGATAAACTTACATCTATTCTATCCATGGATGCACTATAACTCTCCTCTATCCAAGTGGATCTCTCTCTTTCTTTTCTTCATTAATAAAGGAGCGAGTACGACGTTTCCCCCTTTGCTAAGCGAAATTAATCCGATATACGGCGCTGATGTAAATGTCACTCTATGTCATTCCACAATGATACATTTTTTGGCTTGACAATATATAAGCTCTTCATTCAACATGCATAATTTTTGAACGGTTGAGTAAAAAAAAGAAACATATCATAAAATATTCTTCTTACGTTTATCATAAAAATTCTCTATATTTTAAATTTATTTGTTTAAAAATAACAATAATTTCAATTTTTTTTCATAGATTGAACAAGAATCTAATGTAAAAAGTAATACCAATGCGACAGCCACCGTTAAAATAGAAAAGGAAACTTATTTGGAATTGTAACATTTTGGTCCGCCATAACAGGATCTTCGTTTTGCTTCTCTGTGATTGGTCAAGTAAAACGAAGATGCTGTCATGGCGGACCAAAATGCTACAATGGAGACCAACTAAGTTTCTTTTTGCATTTTTACGGTAGGTGTCGCATTGTCATTACTATTTACATTGGATTCTTATTTAATCGATGAAACATTTTTTGTTGAAATTATTGTAATTTATAAACAAATTAATTTTTTTATAAAAAAAAATTTTTAATAAATTTTTTAATGAAAAATGTTAGAAAAATATTTTATGACATATTTTTTTCAACGATTCACTAATTATGAATGTGTATGCATTTTAAATGAAGAGCTTATATATTGTCAAGCCAAAAAAGTATTATTGTGAAATGACAGAGTGACATTTACATCAGCGCCGTATATCGAATTAATTTCGCTTGGCATAGGGGGAAATATTTTGACAGATAGTACTCGATCCTTTATGATGGATGGTGGATGTAACTTATCCATTAAAAAAACATCCATGGATATTACTTATTCAGTCCTTTTAAAAGCAAAATCTATCCATGGATGAATGGATGTTGGATAATGGATAATTTGGGGGACCATTGACAGTGGGCCCGAAAATCAACAATTAACTAAACGAATGAATAAAAACCAAAATAATCTTTAAAGTCATTTAATTTTAATATATAAAATACTTGAGCGCGAAACAGACATTTGTTTCAATGCCACCAGGCATCAAATCAATCTATTTTCAAACATTATTATCATTTATGCATTATTATTATATATTCAAATTAAAGTAATTAAGATCTATTTGTTACATGGAAGTATTTTATTTACGGAAAACCCCATATTAAATGTTCTGAATGATTTGCGAATGATTATGATGCCTGGTGGCATTGAAACAAATGTTTGTCTCGCGCTCAAGTATTTTATATATTAAAATTAAATGACTTTAAAGATTATTTTAGTTTTTATTCATTAGTTATAGTCGTTTATCGCTCCAAAAAAATTATTAACGATTAAACGGTTCTTATTAAAGGAGCTGATATGAAAGAGTACTCAGTTAAAGGTAGCCAAATTTAACTCGATACAACCTCCACTTTGAATAATATATGACATTTTATTTTTCAGATTTTACCTTTACGTGATAATGCTCATTTGATTATTACAACCTAAACACTCTTTGTTATATTTATGCACTTAAATCTTACTGTGTTGCTTTTGCCACGGCTTTTATCAAATAAATTTGCAGCTTTTGTTCACAGAAAAAAAATTGTTCGTTTTACTCTATAATAGCTCAGTCTGCACCTGTTACAGCTATTATTAATATTTTCGTGTATGCGATAGGAGGTAAAATTTCATAGAGCCTGAAACTGAAT